GACGTGAAGCCCTGCCCCAAGCCTAGCTCTTTGTACGAGGTGCCGCTCCGCCTTCTGATGGAGCAGCACGAGCGTTTCTGTGTGTGTAGCAACTGCGACTGCACGCTCCAGTGCGCCCCAGGGAGGTTATACTGAGGTGTCGGAGCCGAGGGGAGCTTGCCCTGACCTTTCTGTGTCCCTCCGCCCAGGCATCGCCATATTCTGCATGCTGCTGACCTACTACATGTGGATCAAGGCCGTCAAAACCGGCTCCATCTATTGGGCCGCGATGTGCGCTCTGGCCTATTTCTACATGGTAAGTGTTTCCTCTCCCGGCGCCGAGGTATTTCTGCCGCCGCCCGCCGCGGGGGAACCTCGTCAGTCCTGGAACTTGGGGGGTTTGTCGGTTTTCTCCCTCGGCAGGTCTCCTCGTGGGGCGGCTACGTCTTCCTGATCAACCTCATCCCCTTGCACGTCCTTGTGCTGATGCTCACCGGCCGCTTCTCCCACAGGATCTACGTCGCCTATTGTACCGTCTACTGCTTGGGAACCATCCTCTCCATGCAGATCTCCTTCGTTGGCTTCCAGGTGGGGACCGGCATGATTCCCGGGCTCGAGGACGGTCGTTTTGCGGGTTGTAAGGGCACAGCGGCGAGGTGGCTCCTGGTTTCTGTCCTTGCCCTCGCCGTTGGTGTTATAAGCGGGGCCTGGCCTTTTTCCCGGGCTCGAGGACGGTCGTTTCGCGGGTTGTAAGGGCACAGCGACGAGGTGGCTCCTGGTTTCTCTCCTTGCCCTCGCCGTTGGCGTTATAAGCGGGGCCTGGCCTTTTCGGGGAAGGCGATGCCGGTTCGCATCTGGGTATAAAAAGCCGACGCCAGGCGTGACGCGGATCTCGTTCCGCTCCGTACCTGAGCGCACTCTCCCCTGCTTGCAGCCTGTCCTCTCCTCGGAGCACATGGCTGCCCTTGGAGTCTTCGGCTTGTGTCAGATCCACGCCTTCGTAGACTACCTGCAGAGCAAGCTGAACCCGCAGCAGTTCGAAATCCTCTTCAGGAGCGTCATTTCCCTGGTCGGCTTTGTCCTCCTCACCATCGGGGCCGTGCTGATGCTGACAGGTAACCTGGGGCCGTGAGCGTGTTCTGCTGCCGGCTCTGCCTCCTTCCGCTTCTGTAATCCATCGCTCCTAATTCTGCATCGCTCGGGTGGGAGACAATTCTTTTGAGGGAAAAATTGCACTGTGTCTCCTTTCAAAAAGAGCTGGTTTGAGTGAGAGAGATGTCAAATGAGGTCTGGGATTGCTCATCCAGCCTCGCCGTGCCTCCCGTGGGAGAGCATGCGTCGGCCTCGCTGGTTACCCTCCGCTGGAACCAAGCACGACGGGTTTTCCCCTCTCGCCTAGGGAAAATCTCCCCGTGGACGGGGCGTTTCTACTCCCTGCTGGATCCCTCCTACGCCAAGAACAACATCCCCATCATCGCCTCCGTCTCCGAGCACCAGCCCACCACGTGGTCCTCCTACTACTTCGACCTGCAGCTCCTCGTTTTCATGTTCCCAGGTGAGCCCAGCGCTGAGGTAGCCGAACCCCGAGGTACTAAATGGTTCTGCCAGCCCCGAGTGCTTCCGTTGGCTAGGCCGGGCGACGGGCCTGACCCCTCTCTCTCTCCTCCCCGCAGTCGGCCTCTATTACTGCTTCAGTAACCTCTCGGACGCCCGCATCTTCATCATCATGTACGGCGTGACCAGCATGTACTTCTCTGCCGTCATGGTGAGGGCGCGAGCGGCGTGACGTAACGGTCCTGACGAAGCTGATCTCGTTTCGGAACTGGATGCTGGTGGTTCACGAGGCTTTTCACCTTCCCTTAAACCCACTTTATTCGCCCCGTGGTGCAGCGAGGGAACGCGGCGCTGCAAAACCTCCTGGGTTTGGCGTTGCTCGTGGCCGCTGCCGGGTCGCTGTTCCCGCTGTCCCACGGCAGATCCCCCGGATCCCCCGGGTGTCCGAGCAGGGCCTGCTGGCAAAAAGCTGCTTACGCGCCCCGTTTCGCTCCTGGTAGCACCCGGAACGTGGGTTGATTTCTCCATGTGGAGGCATCTGCTGCTTCTCGGCCCCACCTGGGCCTGCCCCGGGGCGTTGAAGTGGGGCCGCTTCTGCGTCGTGGCCAGTTTTGGGGGCTTGGGGAGAACGTCCCTTGGGGGTGTCTGAGGTGGTGGCAGCTCCCAGTCTGCATTCACTAAAAACCAGACGCGGGGTTGCCCCGGGGCCGATGTGCTTGAACTTGACGGCGCTTCGATTCCTCTCTTTTCCTGGATTTCTGCCCCGATTTCTTCTCCCGACCCTTGTGCCGCTGCCCGTAGGTGCGTCTCATGCTGGTGCTGGCCCCGGTGATGTGCATCCTCTCCGGCATCGGGGTTTCCCAGGTGTTGTCCACCTACATGAAGAACCTGGACATCAGCCGGCCGGACAAGAAGAGCAAAAAGCAGCAAGACTCCACCTACCCCATCAAAAACGAAGTGAGCGTCGGGCGGGAGCGGCACCGGGCAGGAGACCTCGGGTCCCGGTGGGGACGATGGCA